ATTTCTCTCAGTAGCCGGGTTCACATCCCTGCAGGATTGGCTCCTGGGGTTTGCAAAGTCAGGCCCCTTCTTCGCTCCCGGAGAAGAAAATCAGTGGTTCTTTTAGTGACCGTATCCATGAGTTTTGTGCTGCTGTCTGTCACGCGCGCTATAACTCAGATCATCCTTCGCACAACTGAGTTGTACACTTTGGATCGTAATGATTATAATCACCAAATAAATATAGCAGCTGACGCTGGGACCATGCTCTGCCTGAGCAATGCTGCTGCAAACATGTACCTGTATGTATGCACCCAGTCCAGGTTTCGCCAGGAGTTCTCGGCTTGTATTTATCAGGCGTCCTTCTATTGCAAAACAAAACTACAGAAAGTCAAAGAAAATTCTCGGTGTGATTAGAAAACACAATCATGGAGAGATTATCCTCAGCAAAGCTTTTACAGGTGCAAGCGTTCTTACGGCAGCCATAACAAGTTAATGACTTTGTTTTTCTCAAAAGGCCACAAACCATTTAACTGAACTAAGACTCCATAAAATACAATTTAATTTTCTTTATTACTTTGCTTTACTCTTTATGTCACCCATCCCATTAAACAAAATATATGGATTTCCTGCCAAATTAACGATCTTGACACACAGCTCCATTGTTTGACTTGCACTTTAAAATAATGAATTAATTTCCTGCGTTTCCAAACCTGGACAATCAAAGCTGGCAAACAAACAAGGAGAGTTACGCTCCAGCAATCAGTTCAGTCAGATAACCATCATGATTTAGGTGTGCTGAATAGCTTTTATGGGTTTTTTTTAATGACAAAACAAACATGTCACATAAAAGTTTCGTTTAATTTAAATTCACTCTGTGCAAAGAAATGATGCTTAAATATTACTGAACTGTTACACCTGTCATTTGGAATCTTTATTTTAAATTATGCTGCAGAAACATGGATCTGTTTGTTTTCTTTCAAACTTTCTGGTCTTTAATTACAAGTCTGCAATAATAGATGCACAGCAGTGTAACTGCGTGCAAATATGTCATTAGGTTTTGACCTAAAATATTATGCTTTAGGTCAAAGCTAATGGTTGCCACAATCCAGTCTTTAAGTGATGATGTGATGAATCCTGCTTCCGGGCCCAAACTACTCTGCGTTTAATAAGGCTTTAGTGTTTCTTACTTGTTTTAATGCTTTGTATCTTGTTCTATTTAATCTCAACAAGCCCCTAAAACAGTCAGTGATCACTGTCGGCCTCTCTTGGTTTTTATTACTGCTAATCATTTTAAAGCTCAGTTTTTAAAACCTTACAATGTCACTACAGCTCAGCCCATGCAGCAGTATATTGATAATTAACCTCATATTGTGGATTGAATTATCTCAGTTGTTCTCCTGGCTGAAGTTCAGTCCGTTTACAGCATCCTGCCATGCGATTGCATTTGTCCCGAACCATCGGGAACCCTCACGTTAACTTTTACAGAGTAGAAAAAAGTTAGCGTTCATCCTCCAGCTTCACTGTTTATATTATGCTAACATAGCTGTGTCGCTAGCGATCATGTAGCACATCATTGTATACCAGCTAGCCAAACTTCAGTAACCCTACAAACGTCCCTGCTGTTTACTTTCCTGTCTTCATGTATGTCAGAAATGATAGCAGAGCTGTACGTCTTAATTTGTTTCATAAATCCCTCAGTCAGAACATGGTATATTATGACTAGTGAGCTAACTTCCTGCTAACTTCTAACTCTGTTAAATTTCATAAATTTGGTTTTCGTGAATGCATGGATGTTAAACTTAATTGTTAAACCTGGTAGAGCAGCAGCACTGATCATTTTATTACAGATGAAGGGATTTAGACAGTTTTCAACTCTCAGTGATGCCGCAGTAATCGTTTGACTTTGGGACCTGCAGCAGAGTTAGGCACGGCTAATGATGTCAGACCGTATAGATGTAACAACTCTGTTGTAGACTCCAGGGCAGGTAATTTTGGGGCTCTGGCAGAAAGGGCGCTAGAGCCAGAGGAGAGGGAGCGGCGAGCTTAGTAGTGTGTCACACAAACAGCAAATATTGCCAAAAAAGTATGAAATCTTTGAGGGTGCTTTGATTCATTTTGAACACCCCCAGAATGGTGAAGTGCCCCCAAAATGGTCTAAAAGCGCCCCTGGCCTCTGCCTTTTTGATATATCTCTTCAGCACAGTGGCCAGAGCCGTGAGCTTTTGTTTGGCAGTTTCTAGACTCTCATACAGACATCTGGTTCTACCTCTTTTTCGTCTTTTTTCGAGCTGTCTCTCATGATGCCCTTTTGCACCCCACTTAACCGACTAACATCCTTCCAGGCTTCCAGCCTTCTTCTCCAAGGGAGGCAACAGATGTTGAATTGGCTTCGCTGCTGGATATGTATTATATACATATAAATCCAGCAGAGGAATCAATTGAACATCTGTTGGATAGGAAATGTTAGAGTAATACAAAGGAAAAGCACAGGGCTACTCGGTGTGAAGATGAGTGGGTTGCAAGTTTGAATTTCTATCAAGAATTTCCTCCACAGTGCTCGCCACACCCTTACCCTAAGTGAGTTCATTCACCTGCACACGCAACATTCATACTGACGGAGTTCTACATTTTTTATTACAACGTTTTAAATGTCACAATTTGGACAAAAACATACATTTCTATAGCAAGACTTTCCTCAGTATCAATTTTAATGTGAACTGTATTGTACCAGCAGGAAAACATGTGGTTGTGGAGAAACTGACTCATCAGTAGAGGGAGCTCTGACTCTGACAGGTGAAATCAGGGCATGACTTGGATTTTTTACGTTTTATTCTTGGCATTAAAAAAAGGTATTCCACAGTTGGATTAATAGAAAAAAACCCATATGGTCACACAAAACCCCAGCAAAGACATCGAGCCTGCCCTGAAACCATTTCTTGGTAATTGCAACTATTAAACTTGAATTAGGGATAATGGTATTTATGAGGTTTTGGCAAGATATTATTAAAAGCAGATTCAGAATAACTTTGGTGGAAAGTAATTTAATGCTATATCTACAACTTCATTTTTATTAATTACACTTCTGATCCTTGTACTTACCAGTGAGCGTTGTTGATAAGCATGTCCATCTGTTTATAACCACAGTGTATCCCCCTTCTAATGGCTGCCTCCAACAGGATGACTCTGTGTCCCGAAGCCAGACTTGTAAACATTTAAAAAGGTCTTGAGCAATAGTTCTGAAACTTTTTGAAGTTTTTATTTGGAAATTCAATTCTTCTTTTTTCTTTCACTAAATTGGTCTTCTACCTGATCATTTTCATAATAAACTTTTTTTTCTTTTGTTAAGCCACTTAACCTTGACCTGTGAATCATTCAAACATAAAAAGATACCTAACTTCACAGGTGCAGGGATGAACCAGTGTTGTGCCTTTACATAACAGAGAGCTTAGAGACAAACCCTTTTTAAATTGCATCTGTAGGTACTGTTTCATAATAGCCTGTCATAAAAACACATCATTTGTTCCCATTTCTTTAGTTCATTCCATAAAAATAATGACATAAAATAATATTGTTAGCCAAAAACTTAAAAGCATTTCTCAGCATGGCGCATCGTACAAAGAAAACAAAAACCAAAAATTGAGAAGTGGAAGGAAAGCCTAAACAGGAGAAGGAGAAAAAATTAGTGGCAACTGGACTTCTGGGGTAAATTTTGAATTCAAATCATCGTCAGTGGTGTTGGAGAGCTTGTCAAAATTAATGGAATTATGAATGCAGAAAAGCACAGTCAGAATTTGATCCACCATACAAAACCATCTGGGGAAGTATATCTGATTGGCAACAGCTTTATTTTTCAGTATGACAATGATCCCAAACACACTGAAAGTTCAGTAAAAGCATGCCTGGATAGAAAAAACAGATAGTGACAGTCCCCAGAGCCTTGACCTCAATATTACTAAAGCAGTGTGCGATCATCTTGACTGAGAATGGAACAAATGGCAGCCAACATCAAAAGAAAAGCTTTGAATCTTATTCAGGAATCCTGGGGAAATATTCCTGAAGGCTTCCCAAAAAATTACAAGAAATCTTGAGAGCTCAGACTGTGTTTAAGATTAAAGGTAGTCATAACAAATATTGACTGTCAAGCGAGTTAGAATTGTTCATTCTTTGTTTTTGCTTTAAATGTTGTAGATCTATTCTTGCACCTATTCCCCATTTGCACAATCCTGCATACGTAAGTCCTTGGCCACCTGCTTAACAGCTTCAAGGTTATTTCTTGAAACAGCTATGTTGATGATTCACAGCTGTACTTTCCCGTTAAGCCACAACCACAAGAGCCTCTACGATTCTACTCAGCTAGTACAATTCAATATAAAATTCTTTGCTTCAAATGATGGTGTACTTTTGATCAAGATCTCCAAAGTCATCCAGCGTTGCTCTTTTCATCTAACAAAGAAAATCAAACACATCTCTCTTAGTCTGCCATCGATTAGTCCAGAAAGCAGCAGCAGGGATTTAAATAAAGGTGTTTAACGTTTAACCTACTTTATTAGTGTGTTTAATTCCAATGTATGCACATGATTAAAAAAGCGACTGAGTCTCGCGCAGATTACTTTAATAAACAAAAACCTTGACTATGGCCAGAATAATCACTGTTGATGCTGTGCTTTTAAGTTTGGGTGATATTAAATTACAAATAAACTAGAAATAAATCAGTTTAAAACAGGTGTTTTTTGTTTCCTTTTGTACAGTCCAGCTGAATATATGACACTTTAATGGTGTGCCTGCTGACAAAACTGCATACAGTCAGTTGTTAGGACACATTTGCCGACAGAGATGTTTCTCAGTACGTCTAAAGCTAAGGAAATTGTTTCCTCTCAATGTTCTTTGTTGCCATCAGAATCCAATTACCTTAAAGTGAAAAAATTATTGGTCGTTTTGGCCGACCCCATCATCAACTTTAACCTGAAATACATTTGGGAGCCACAGCAGAACAATAATGAGAACTTCATTCATCCACCTTTAGCATTTGACACCAGATCAGCTTTATTTAAAGGACAGTGAAGAGTTTATTGTAATTCTGTTTACACACAATAAAACAGTTAAACACTTCAAACTGCTGGTACAATTTGTTGAAATACTATTTTTTCTTGCCACCCTTTGGAGCTTTTTCTAATCCTTGAATGTATTTCCGAGGAATTTGATAATGATCTGAAAGGAGAATAATAGACAAAATGACTTTATTTGTGCAGATGAAGGAATTATGATAAAATACTGAATTCCCTAAAGGTCCATACCCAGCAGCAATTTGCCAACTTGTTGAATCTGGTTTCCTTGGATCTGGACCAAGACTCTGTCCTTGGCTCCGGGGACAGGCTGCAAGACAGAGCTGGCCTGAACTCTATGCTGCAAAACACTGGCGACAACTGCAGGATCCAACCCGTACACTTCCAGGTTCTTCATCAAAGTCACCTACAGGTTGCATATATAAAACAACTAATTAAAATATTTAATCATTCATGTTAACTAGTGAGGTCATTACTATATACAATCTGTATAAATGGAGGGCACTGACAAGTTTATTTTTCAAAACGTAAGATGCACCTATAATATATCATTCATTACTAGATTAAAAAACAAAAACATATACTGTGGGGCAAAAAAGTATTTAGTCAGCCA